TGTGCTGCAGCTTGGTGAGGAGGGGAGAGGAGGTTTCATGTGGGAAGAGCTGGAGAAAAGAGACTTTTCTGCTCCCCTCCTGGCTGAAGGGCAGCTCCCTGCCAGCCCCGCACACCAGTGGAGAGCACCTGCCCGAAGCCGAGAGCCGAGTGGGGCTGTTCCCACCAGCCCTGCAAGCACCAAGGGAAAAACCTCCCCGTGGATCAAAAGGCTGTGCAAGCCTGTTCTCGCCACCCCGCGCAGCTTCGTTTCAGATAAGGACGGGCGGTTAGTTGGGCTCCCACCGCCTTCTCCCCTTGTCCTGTGAGAACTCAGCTCCTCCAGCAGCGAGCGCGCACAGGGCTCCCCTCCCTGCCTTTAAATCTAGCTGTACAAACTTGTGGTTGTTTACTTAGCCTGTGCTCTTGGGCTAGAAACAGCAATAAATCCCCACACCACCCTGCTCCTAAAAGCACATAAATCAAATCGTACTTTTTTTATAATCCCTTTCCCTTTGAGACTGATTATTGATCCCTAGAACTGTTGAAGATTTATTGCATAATAGTGATCCATCCTTGATAACTGAATAATCTCCTAGGGGTTCAGGAGCTTTTGCCATCACTAGCTCATGCAGATGAAGCAAAGCTTCACAAATACGTTTTCTGCTTCTTTTCTGGAATGGGCCCTCGCCAGTGATCAGGTGCAGACTACAAATAGCCTTCCATGTCATGTCATATATGCAGTGAACAATGCTATTGCGATGCATATGCCCAAAGGGGCACAGCTAAAATGACCGGCTAAGGATTATTTATTTTCAACTGTGGTTTTGCTTTCTCTTTTCCTGTTTTTTTTCCCCCCCTAACTATTTTGCTTTCTCGTGCTATATAATGCAGAAACAAACAGTTTTGTTGTCTTGTTTTTAAAGGGATTCTTTTTCCTGCTTCTTTTTCTGTTCTCGATGGGTAATTATACCCCTCTCTTCCCCGTAGTATCTGAATGTCTTCCAGTGGTGCATTAAATAGTGTGACTAACATCTGTCACATGTGGTTCATTTGCTTTCTCTCTCTCTCTCGTCCCCTCTTCTTCTCCCCAAGGGGAAACTTGTAGCAGGAGTGGAGTGCTTTGTTTCTGTAGTGGGTTTTTATTCTTTTTTTTTTCCTTGTAATGCACATACTGCCCTATTTTTCTGTTAGATAAGGCAGTCAGAGGACACAGAGGGGAAGGTGATGGCGGTCCGGGCAGCCATTAGTGCCCAGGGGAGTTGTTCCGGCAGCCTCGGCCATGGTGTCAGCTCCCTCGCAGATGACTTCATCCTGGTGATAGAGAGCTCACTGCGCTGCTGGAGCTGCGCTGCTGGGCACGGCCTTAATCCTGGGGCTCTGCCGGGGGTGGGGTGGGGTGGTATTTTACAAGTATCTGGAATGTCAACACTGTTTCCCTAAATATCTGGAGGCATGCTTGTTGTGAGCTCTCACTTTAGAGATGGTGGCCACTATGTTGCGTCTTGAGGAAAAAAATGACATTCTGCTGTGTTGTAATTGATTGTGAAGTAAGTGAGGATTATTTTTTTCTTTTAACTCTCAAAGCAAAATTCCCTTCCTTTCTCTGTCTCCTGGCCCACAGTCTCCTGACTCTCATAATAGCATCTTTCTGGAAGCTTACCAGTAACAGAATACTCCAGGGTCTTGGCCCACAAGACCATGTGTTTTGAATAGGAAAGATTAAACCTTCTTTTGATGGAAACAAACAAAAAGACTTCCTTCCGACAGAGACAAACACATATGTATGTGTATGTATATGTACCTAAAAACGCAAACAGCAAAAATGTAGTGCAGATACCTCCCTCCCTCACCCCTTCCTGGTCAGGAATGCAGTAAGGTGAAAGTGCAGCCTCTTGGAAACATTTCCATTGTTCCTTCACATTTGCTGACCCACCCTGTCTTGCATGAGAGCCCATCCCTGCTGCCATATTCCCTTGATACTTCCTTGAAATCACCCAACTATCCATCCGTTCCTTCCTCTGACATCTGCTTTCTCTCAGCTTGTCAATGCTCAAGGGCAAAGAGGAGTGCAGGGAAGAGGTAGCCTGGGATGCACATGTTCAAGAGACTGGGAGAGTTTCCAGAAACTGAGAAGCAGAACAGATTGGGGCCTATTCCTGGCTAGAGACCTATTTCCAGACGGCCAAAAAACATTCCTAACCCCTAGACTAGTACCCAGGGATTAGATGAAAATAGGAGGGGAAGCGCCTCAATGTGGCTGTTGTTCCTGCGTTTGCACGTTATGTGGAATGACTCCTCTGCAATTTTGTGGTGGTGAGCACAGAAGGGCAAGAGATGAAGGAAAACATACTCAAATAAGTAAGTCTGAGCACCCAGGATGAGAGAGATCCAAGTTGGTACTCGGCTCTGGCTCGCATTTGCTGAGGAAAATCATTTCATTGGTCTCTGCCTCGGTTTCCCTTCTGCCCTTGGGGAGACCCTTGTAGCAGGGTCTGTCTTGTGTTCCTATGCAGTGCCTGCCAGTATGAAGTCCTGCTCTGACTTGTGGCTACTAGATGTTGTCAGACAACTAATACAAAAGAAGAGGAATGTGATAATGCTGCCTCTGAAAAGAAGTCATGTTCCCAAACAGGAACATGGGGAACCAAATAATGCACAGCTCCACCCTCCCAGGTGTATAGGATGCTGTGACCTCTAGCATCAGCCAGAAAGGGATGTCACACTATGGAAATACAACCAAAAGCAAATACAACGAAGAGTTGCTCCTGAGACAGTTCTGAAATACCCAGTGCTTGGCTTTTAAGGAAGTGAAGCTGTTTCAAAATCCAATCTCTTGCACATTATTTATGGGTCTCCTGGTAGGGTTGAAAAGAGCTGGTACTGTGGTCTTTCCTTCCTCATCACTCCCAGTGGAAATGGAAGGGAGCTAATGGGGAACCAGTTTTCTCTTTGGAAGACGTAGATAAGTGACTTCTTACTGGATCTTATTTCTTCTATCATGTGTCAGGACAGTTGAGCCTCACAAGAGCCCTGGGTCTGACACTACGTTCTTCTTCCTTTCTGGACCTCCATAGGAGAGGGGTGGTGGGTGCCCCGGAGAGTCTGTTCCCTCTGCCCTGCCCCTTGCTGTTGTTGGGCAGGGAAGGCAATACCATGCTAAAAGTCTGGCAGCTCCTCGGCTTCCCAACTTGACCTCCTTCCCAGATCTGTAGGGCACAGAGCCCAGACAGCTTCCATGTGGAGGAGATATCAGCTCCCTAAGAGTTAAAAGGTCTCTATTTAAGAGCACACATCCTCAGTCAAGAGCACTACAGTAAAACCCATCAAGTTTCACTTAGGAAATGCTGTAATTAGGGTCACCTGCATCACCTTAATCCAGCCTTCTCCTCGTGTGGGCATGGTGATACTGTCTTTAATTACATGACACCCTATGCTATTTTTTTCCACGGGACCCCAGCCCCCATAGTGCTGCGGACAGCAGTGCCTTCTGAATGGATCGCTACTCAATATTTTCCTTTGTCCTCATCACTCAGTGTCTGACTTCATGTATTATTTAGCATATGCTCTCCAGCCCCTGGCACACCACGCAGAACTACACACTTCCTCCTGGCCTTTTCAGCAGAGCTTTGTCCCAGCATCAATGGCCCCTGGATGGGGAGGTAGGGCTCCCTCTTCCCGTCATCAGGGCTGGAGGGGGAGCCAGGCTATGCCCACCCACCTGTAAGTGATTAAATGGTAACACCTGGTCCTGATCAAAGGCTGCCAGCAGTTAAGGTAGGAGCTGCCTGCAGGGAGGGGAACTCCTGTAAGAGAGTGAGCAGTGCCTTGGGGAGCCATCTGAGGTGTGAGCTCTTGGACCGCCATAGGAGGCCTTACCTGCAAGGGGAGAAGCCTTGTCAGCAGGGGGTGGGGGAGAGTGCTCCCAGGTGGAGGGCCTGTGTGTAGGATTCATTGGCTCAGCCAGTGCCCAGGATGAGACCTAACCCCTTGTTGGAAACCAAGTCACAGTTCCTGGTGCTTGAGGGTCCTGTTGGGAATGAGTGCCTTGTACTTCAGTGTGGTGGGTACCAGTGGGGTTTCCAAGACAGTCCTCAGAAAACAAGGTTGGTGTTTGGAGGGAGAGGTTGGGTTGGGTTTGGTTTTCTTTTGGGTCAGTCTGGGGTTTTTTGTTAGTGCAGTAGCTAACGTAAGTAGTTTACCCAACTTCTTGCTCTGAATAAAGACAATGACTTCACAAATTACTTCTCTGCTGTTGGGGAGAGCCTGTTCATCAGCTATGTGACTTCCTCATCCTGTTCCTGGGTACCTCAATGGATGAGGCAAGGTCTTTAACCATGCAGCCCTGTTCCATGCTGGGAGTACATCCAGCCTGAGTGCTGAGGAGAGGTGGGGGCAGCCCACATAGATCTACTTAAACCACTGTCTTTAACACGTCTGTGCAAAGGACCGGAGTGAGAGTACACAGAAAATTTCAATTTTGATGGTCTGTAACACTGGTGTACTTAATGCAGCAACCTTCAAGCTCTTATATTGCTATTTGCTTGTTGTCTGTATACAGCCCTAAATGGAGGTCCCTGGTTCCAGAGCAGGAAGCAAATGGAAAAGTTGGACCAGTATCATCCTGCTGGCTACATAATGCTATCATGAAGTACCAGCAGGCTCGCAACCCCTCTTCACTCACCTGCTATCAAACTCGGTCACATTACGCAGCTGTTTTCGGTAAGTCTCCAGCAAAACCCACTGGGAGCACTGGGCTGGCACTGGGTGAGGAGGGTGGGGCTTGGAAAAGTGAAACCGAATGGTGCCCATGTGGGTGAAGCAGATGTAGCAGTCGGGGAGGTAGGTGGCATTGTACACCAGCCAGTCCACGCTCAAGATGGCATAGTCATGCAGGTGTAAGACAGCACCTGATGGGAGGAAGAGTATGCCCTAATGAGACAAGGCAGCTGACAAGAAGGAACTGAGGTTTAACATGATAATAATTTGAGTTTGCCCATCCAGGGGCATCTGGAAAAACTTCTAGATGGTTGTGAGTGACCCCTCCCAGCAGAGACTGTGTGGCTGCTCTGCCTTCCCCATGCTGGGCGATCTGGTACCCTCCACATCAAATGTGAGGCAGGCAGAGCTTGACCGCTCCCTGGGAGTGGAGGGAGGGGGGAATCAATAGGGAGCTCTACTTCTCTGGAATGGGAAATGCTCCCGGTGATTAGACGTCTTTCAGACAGACTTTGCTGTGACCTGGCCCAGGCCCCACTGATGTAAAGAGGAACTCGCACAGTAGGCAGGAGCTTACAAGGCATGCTAGCTGACTGGCAGACCTGAAGCAAGCCTCTTCATCTAAGCTGTTTGAATCCCAGCCTCAATTTTTGCATCTAGTCTGTGTCTCTTCTTTCATCTCTCTGAAACTCTGGCGTACACCAAAATCCCAGACAATGACACACCAGGGAATTGCACTCAGATGCAGAAGTACCATCTATTTCTATGCTTTATCAAAAGCATGCTCACTTACAGCGTACATCTGCTGCTGGGCAGCACGAAGGGCCTCTGGGATGCTCTGTTATTGTACAGTATGTTGGCAACTGCCAGGCTTCCTGGCATAGGAAGCATCCTCTGTGTGCTCACCTTCCTCAGCCCATCCTTTTGCTTTGCTAAAATCTCTCCTTTTGCAGAGGATTCTTATGTGATTAGTGCTTGAACTAAACTTCACCTTTGTAAGGGGAAGATACTGTGAGAGTCTTACAGATATGTATTTTATTAGTCTAGGGAGAACTCGTAGTCAAAATAGCTTTGGTACCCTCAGGGGTAATGGGAGAACATGAGTAGCAAAAACAAGATAAGACTGGTATGTATGTGACACTAAACAAACTTCAGGACTATAATGTATAGTGGACTAATCTAATATAGACTATAATGTCTATAATCTCCCACTACAGAGGGTCTTCTGTTTAGACGCTGAGCAACTGTGGCTGCTGCTCTCAACAGAGCTTGTGTGACAGAATGGGCATGCCGTAGCTGTCTAGATCTGACCGTCCTCTCACTGGCAATGTCACCCTCTTTCCTATGTGAGCAGCAATAGAAATTACAATAGTGCTTGAAACAACAGTAATTCCTAGGGGGTCTTGGCCCTAAAATCTTATTGCTCTTGCAAAGATTCTGAGAACCCATTTTAACATCTCCTGGATTGAAAAGTGTTAATTTTTTGTTTTGATTCCTCCTCGGTATCAAAGATCCCCATTGGAGCTGAAGAGGGGACTACTTTTAAATTCCTTACTGTTCAATTCAGCAATGAAAGGATAATGACAATTCTGACATACCAATCATTTATGGTAACAGATTAGGATGCTGCAAGCCAGGTATCCTTATTGTACACCAGAGGCCGGGAGGGAGAAGATGGGAAGTGAGAAAGATGGCTTTTATCCATATGCCAGTGCCACGGCCTGGCAAGTGAAAAATGCTCCTGTGGAGAAGCTGACTCTCAAATCTTCCAAAGCAGGTCACCAACCTGTTTCCAGGCAGCCATGTGGGCAAGGCCATGGGACTCTGAATCTAAAAAGGGACTGCCTAGAAGGGTGGACATATTGTTCAGAGTCACAGGAGTACTGACAATGTTTGCTGCAACTGTCTTATACCTTCAGTTAAAGAAGGCACCTTGTTCAGATACTTCCTTACTGAACCAGAGATGCAGAGGGAGAAACTAGTCAGTCAGGAGTCAAGGCCTTCATCCTGTGATCACCTCAACCTCCTGCCTCTCTGATGAACTGTCAGCAGTTCAGGGACGCGGAGACATTAGGCTTCCTGATGCCAAGCCTAGGTGGTTTGCGTTTCACCTTGGCTAGAAATACCCTCTCCCCCTTTCCATTGCAACCCAGAGTACTGAGCTTTCAGATGTGGCTGTGTCCCAGCTGCTCATCAGAGGATGCATAGGATGGTGTGGTGAAGGTACTGAACAATCTCATATCACTATCTAACCTAAAATGGTCCAAATGCCTTTAAAAATATGTGTGTGCTGCAGAGTACAGTAACCCTCTTGGGATAGGGCATGGCAGCCTATTAGCAAGTAGCTTGCTGCACAGCAGGGGAGAAACCACATCTCTAAAGAGGAGAAACGCCTGCCCTTATAAGCAGGGATGTCCTATAAGTGCACAGACCAGAACCTGATTAAGAAAGACTAAGTGAGAGAATACAGTAGTTCTTATATTCTATAGGTCACATCAACACAGGCTTTGACTTGCATTCAACAAGAAACCTGCAGTGTTGGAGGTAGCACCGTCCTCCTCTAGTGCCCCCTGACTTTCCAGTAAACTTCCAGGTCTGCTACAGAAACACCTGTAGAAAGACTTATTGGGGGATACAACATTTTTGCCTAAGATGTGGGCTAAGACAAGGTTGGTAGCATGTCTGTGGTATGTGTGTGTGGAACAAGGAAAGGCCCTGGCTGGAACACACTGAACAAATATGGGTGTCTGTGATGTCATGTTGTCTTGGCTTCCTCTGCCCTTTCTCCACACTTGAAAGGCTGAAGGATCCATATTGTAAGTTACACCAAATGCTACAATTGCTGGAAATGTGTATTCATCTAATGCATCCCCCTCTTCCTCTCTCTCCCTGCCCTGTCCCCAGGCTCAGAGGCAGGGCACTTCCTGGAACCCCGTGAGCACGATTTACAGCTCGTGTAAGCTCGTCTGCCATATCGCACACTTTGTCTCAGCTCTGCTGTAGAAAGCAAAAGGTGAGAGGAGGATGAATAAGACAAACAACCCTTAGGCCAAGCCTACCTTTTGGCATGCGCTTTAAGATGCTGAACACTGTGCTTTGATCAATGAGGCCTTTCGCCCGAAAGAAGTGCATGCTTGGAGGAAACTGTCCCGTAGTTATGGCTGCTGCAACCTCCTTCTTCTTGAGGTTTACAAGCTTTGTACTGAGTTGCTGTTCCTGTCTACTCAGCACCAAATTGCCACCTGTCTGACGGGCTTTCTCCTCCTGCATTAGAGAGTCCCGATCCTTCCAGAGTGGAGCGGGAAGGCAGAGGGAAGCCAAATTCAGGAGAAGGTATGCCAGCCTTATGCCTTGCCCAGATGGAGGCTTCATCTTAGAGCTGTACCTGAGCAGGGAGAGAAGATTGGAGCATTAGCACAGGTCAGAGGGTGACATCTTGGCAATGACCCATTGGGATATTAAACTGTTGGCCCATCCTGCAGATGTAGTGGGTTAATTGGATGCTTAGTACTGGGGGAAGCACCTGGTACCAACGTCCCCTGTGTTTGGGGCTCTGCATTTGCACACTTTCCATGATGCTAATTGGACATAGCAAGACTGTGAGTAGGGTGGAGAGGAGATATTGCTCCCCAGATTAGGCTGGTAGCAAATCACACAGACCTGCAATATGGCAAAGGTCTAGCCCTGGAATGGGGGATTGGTGAGGTCAGGACTCTGGCTTGCAAGCTGGGCTGCAGCCCCCTTGGAATAAGGGATGCTGGTGACAAGGTACTGACTGTGCCACTAGCGTCCCAGGGAGGGAAGCAGGGGACTGTAGTACTTGAGGTGCTTTTTGCTTGAGCTGATCAGATCCTGATTCCCTACAGTCAAGAGAAGACCTTGTTGCACCCTTATAGTATATTCTAGCTATCAGAGGGGTTAATTTATGGGCCAAAACCCCCACATCTTCCTCCACAGTGACAGGGGTGTGTCACTTCCTTGCAATCCCAGAAGAAAGAAGACAGAAGGAAGACCGTGGGAGTAGTAAGAGATCACAGGAGACAGGCGCATGTGACCTCTGAGAGCTCTGCCCTTCCCAAAAAAGCACAGCTGCAATATAATCCTTCAACACCGGGCTTTAGTGACCCTCCACACCAATCTCTCCAGACCAAACCAGGCTGGAGAAAAGCTCAACATTTTGAAACGGTCCCCTGTGAATTATGTAGTAAGTTCCTGTCTGTGCGCGTGTCTTCTCCTTCCAGCCTCTCCTCCACCAGTGCGTCCACCAGGATTCCCTCAGCCCCATCAGTGGGTCCCAGAAGACGAAGGCATGCTGGGGGACCAGTCCACTGGGAACAGAGCAGAGGTAGACACAGCCCCACCTCAGGCCTGGCTCTGAACTTAGAGAAAGAAGCATCCCAAAAGGTGCTATCTTATCCCTAGTGGGACTGACTCACTTACTGTTAACTTTCTTCCTCCTTGCATCCAGAGCTCATCCAGCTGCCTCCCAAGAGAGTAGGGAACAGTTATCTCTCTTGCAAGCCGACACTATCCCAGCAAGATAGAGGCAGGATCCGTCCCGGCGGTGCAGAGCGAGGCCCTCCCCAGCGCAGACTGGCCTGCCGCTCCGGCTTGCTCAGCTTTTATTTATCCCCGTTCCTACCACTTCATGAATATATAAAGAGGAGGAGGAGGCAGGGGAGGTTATGAGAAAGCAGGATGCAGGCAGCTGAAGGGAGCTGGGCTGGGAACGGGGGGCCAAAGCAGCGGGGTGACCTATAAGAACCCTTCCAGCTCCTGCACAGAATAGAGGTTTACTCTTTAACCCATCATTTACTGCCAGCGAGGCGATCAGGGACTGTGCAGCCTTCCCGTACCCTGATATGCATACACAGCTTTCAAATATCCTGGAAGAAACGCTTAGGCGTGCGTTCCTGGTCCGGGGAAGCTCTCTAAGCCCCACTCAGGCTGTCCCAGGAATACACGTGAGCTTGAGTATTTAATCTGATGTAGAGCACCACGCATGTAATGCCAACAACACTGCAAACTCTACTTACTAACAGTTTTTTGTAATTTGTAAAACATAGTAATTTGTAAAAGTAGATTTAAATTATTTTGCCCAGTCTTTGCCAGCTGTGTGAACCAGGCAGACGCCAATCCAACTGGCCACACCGGGCTGCATTAGGCACACAGGGCTAAGTTTGTGCCTGGGGAGTAAATCAGGTGGAGGCAGGTATGGTCTGATTTTATTTTTTTTTTTAAAATCACAACAAATATTGTCATTTCACCATTTTATTTTTCACAGTTGAATGGAATGAGTTTTAAAGTTATTTAAAACAGATGTCACATAAACAGCTTCCAGTGGAGAACAGAGTCCATTTGGTTTAATTTAATCAAAATTTTAACAAATTTTTTTTTAATAAAAAAAGAAGGATCACGTAAGCCAAGAGCTATTGAAAACAACCCGCAGCAGTCACAAAGATAGTCTTTGAGGCAGAGAAAGTAGAATCTGGCCAATAATATGTTAAATTTCATTAGCTGGCACCATTGCAACAGGCCGAAAGGGGGGTGGACAGGCCCCCCTCAATATCCCAACTGGACACATGCCAGCTTTTCCTCCTCTCCTGAACCCTTCACCCTTTGCTGTCACCAAGATCAGTCCCAGCATCCATGGAGGGATCAGCCAAGGCTCCCCCAACGTTCTCCAAGCCCCAGCTAGAGCAGCGTGTCCAGAGGGTGGCTGTGGCCCTTTGCCCGCTCCTCAGCAGGATGGGGTTTTTCTTTAGCCTGGAGATGATCCTGCTTCCAAAGGGAGATCAGAGGAGCGGAAAGATGACCCAGCTAAGCTCTGCAGCAGCTATTAGTTGATGAAAGCAACCCAAGGATGGAAAGTACAGGGAGGGACTGCAGAGGGAAGCTCATGGAGTGGAAAAGGGATGGTTCAGTAGGGACAAGCATTCCACCTACAAATACCTTCAAGGGAACAATGTAAGTGAAGGAAGGGAATTGCTCTAATTATCTCACAGTAGTAAAGCCTGGTGTTAGGACCATAAAAGCAAATTTGGGCTAGGCAGTTAGAAAACCATCTCTGTGGTGAGCAATCAGGCACTAGAGACAGGTTCCTAGGGATGAACATTGAGAGGGGTTAAAATGCTATGTGAAGGATGTCAAATAGCGGCTCAGGGCCAGACAGGGGTCTTGGAAATGCCTGCCAGAGGGCCTCTGAGATTTGAAGCACTCGTTCATCCTGTCGACTCTGAAAAAGAAAACCAAAGTTCAGTGCTACAACACTTCTTTAATGGGACTTTTCCACTAAGCAATTGCAGCCATTGCCAGGAAAGTGCTGTACAGATGTTGCAAGGGTTGTGCTAGGAAATAAGAAGGTGTTTGAGATGCCTTGCTCTCTATTAAAATGTGGTCCATGCTCTGAAAACAAAAATCGTGGGGGGCTAGCACAGGTGAAATAAAACCACAGCTGCTTTTAGGCAGGATCTGTCTGGACATGGAGGGTGGAAGGAGGGAGGGAAAACAGGACAACCCAAGCCAGGGTATGGTTGCTACCAGCCAGGAGCCCCATTTGTGGGAGGACCTGGGTTCCTCTACTGCCTGCAGGCATTCACAGCTCTGGTTTCAGACCTCCCTGGGAACCAAGGCATGGTATAAGATGACTTGCCCTGTATTAAGAACCAACAAAGAATGTTACAGGTGTCATTTCTACACTGATGCATCTCTTGGCTAGTTTGAATTCTTGCTGAGAAATGGATAGCCTGTCTGGAGGTTGTGTAATAGCTCTGTGTGTCTATCCACAAGACCATGATTGCAGTTCCTGTCCAGTCTTGACTGGCTCCTGAAAATCTTAAACTCCCTGGCTATAGTCCTGCTTACTGTTTAGCTAGGGCTGATAGAGGCACCAGTCATGCCCTGCTCCATCCTCAAATGCCCCAGCTATTCTCTGGTTTCTTGGGTGGTTTCTAGCCCATGCTGACCTTTCAGCTGCTGCAGCTGTACCTAGCAGTGTTCAAAAGCCCTGTTTTAAAGCTCTTATGGGTATGTCTGTGCAGGCTGCAGGCACACACTTTCTTTATGCCCAGCTGCACATCAGGTGCATGTGAAGCTTTAAATAGCTAGTGGCCACCACTTAGTGCTCTCAGTGAATTCCCCTTGGTTCAGTTTCAGTTCCATGTGTGAACCAGTTTTTTTCAAACCTTTTGAGCTTCTTGGAGGTGTCAGCTACCATCTACTCCAGCCTGTTTCCCTACCTCTCCCTGCTGCTGCCACAGCTGGGTGTCTGCTCCCACTGTTCAGTCCCTTGCAGCAGCAGGAGAGGTGCAAAGGGGAGCATGGACACAGACCCCAGTAGTGGAGGTGCAGGAAGGGGGAAGGACCGCAGAGGCAGCAGCGTTGGGCTTGCGGACATGCGTTTTTCACTTCGTCTTTCAGCTCAGTGTCTCAACAGTGCTTTAGAGTGTCCTGCAAAGTCCGTCTTTCTGCTGCAGCCTCTGCGTGGAGGATCAGCCTGCTGTGCACCACTGCAGATCCCAGCCCCAGATTAAAGCCCTGCAGCATGTGTAGATGATAGCAAAAGCTTCAGAGGCTAGACCTAGGGGTGGTGCAAATCTGGCTGTGTTTCCTGTGTGGGCAACCCATTTTGCGTAAGCCAAATCCCAACCAAGGAGAATTTCTGATAGTACAGAGGGCCAAGGTGCCTTTTAGCTTCCTAGCCTCTCTGGATATGCTGAAGTCTGAGCCGTGCTCTGGAAATATCACCGTAAGGCCAGGAAGAGAAGGTTGGAGCCGGGAAATGTGTTCCCAACTCTACCAGCTAGCTCTATCTTTTCTCTGCCAGCTGCCTCATTTGTGCAATGGGACCAATTCCCTGCCTACCTGCCCTGCTAGGCAGTGGTGATTATTTACTGTATCTGCTGGTGAAATAGCCACGCTCCCCAGGCCAGCGGCTAGAAGGCTGCCGTTTTAAAGCAAGTCTGCATAAGAGATATAGTCTAGTTTGGAGAGGAAAAGTGTGAGGTGGGACAAGAGGCTGGAAGACAGCGGCAGGCGGGCAGGCTGTGGAAAGCCCTACCTCTCTGCTAGGCCTGGGCGAAACCGCAGGGCCAGTCCCTGCTCCAACACAGTCCCAACCTCCCATCCCCTGGCTAACGCCTGTGAAATGCTTCAAATATGTAAAAGTGCTAAGTGCTATAAATTGTTATTAAGAATAGATTGGCCCAGGATGTTTGGGAGGGTTCAAACCTCCCCACAGGCCACTGAATAACCTCTGCTTTCGTCTGG